ATTAGTTGTGATCATATGTCATATCATCATATCAAACTAATGCTACCAATAAAATTCAAAATTTGATGTCTTAAAACTACTTTTAAAGTTGGGTGCATTGTATCCACTCATTTTTGTGGGTCCACCGAAATTGTCAGGTCTTGTCTTCAATGCAAATATATATATATATGGATGGCAAAGTGGGCGATAAATTACCACGCAAGTGGTAAAGGTGAAATAAGCAAATGACCAAAACATAAACATTTTTCTTTTAAGAATTAGGACTAGTTTATAGAAGATGTAGAATTTTTGAAATCCGTTAGGTTACGTAAAATTCGGTCAGTTGTTCAAGAAGTCCGGTAAGCTTTTTCTCCAATCTCTACTTTCTTCTCTTTACTCCTCTGCAAAGATGGTCATTAGTTCACATATTCTCCAATGAAGAAGTTTTGCATGGTTTAATATTTGGGAATTAAGGATTGAGACGTAGATCTTGCAGTGGGCAAGTCGATTATTAATTGGTTTACTGTGCATGTTTTGGTTGAGAAGTTGATACAGAGCATGGTTGTCATGCGGTGGTATGCCGGCCAGTTGAATCTGGTTCAACTGGTGCCAGTCATGAAATCGGTATGACTGACTAAGTAAATTGATGTTATTTATTTTGTAAATAAAAAAGTCAAAAATTGATGTTATTTGTGGATTCTAAGTAAATTGTTCTCAAATATGGATTATATATGATTAAACTCATTGAATGTTAATGATTTTGACATATTTTGTTAAACCGGTATGAACCGGTGCAAACTGGTTGTACCACAAGTCGTACCATTCTACTTGTCAAACCGATACAACGATATAAACCGGTTTGACAACCTTGACAGAGAGAAATATTGGGAAGTGACGCGCGACAGTCGCTGCAGAAAGAAAGAAGGAAATGTGGGGAAGGCGCAACTTCGCAAGCAGGGGGGGAAGGGGCACAGTCGTCACAGGGTCCCGAGATATAAAGCAGCAGCCAGCAGTAGTAAATATTTATCAGGGCGACTGCAGAACATATTAAGGGGTGACTAAATTTATTATAGCTAGTAATTCATCCACACAAAGAGGGCGAAATTACAGCACATGAAACAGGCAGTGATCGATGTATATACCTACTACTACTGCTGCTGCCTGCCTGCCAGAAAAAGGAAAAAAAATGATGACCTGATCCTCCTCGAAATGCGTTCCGGAGCCTTTCAATACAAGATAGGTAAAGCTTGTTGAGAGAGGCCGGTGCTCGTGGAGATGGAGAGTTGGTGGTCGTGAGCAGTTATAGGCTGGATCCACCCCACACACTAGCTATAACCATATCATGATAATATTACACGATTTTCCCTACCTATATATTCAACTTGCTCTTGGGGTCCAACTTCAAAAATGGCAAAAAAATTTCAACTTGTAGGAGTTGTTTGGTTTCATGCCTTTGAAATATTTGTGTCACCTTTACCTTCAGGACAATGAACCTCTGGACTGAAAGATATACATGGAAGACGTAATAACAGTATAATATCATCAAAAAATAGAAAACGCCAAAAGGAAAAAAAAGCATAGTGACTAGTAAGCCTGCTCGACTAATAGTTTGTTTATTGAAATACATAAATTTGTTAGATCATCTATCTCACTATATACGATATTTAAAAATATAAGAACATGATGAGGTATATGTCATTTCTAATTTAAAAGATAAATTATGTATCATAGATTGCTTCAATACTAATTACTGCTAAATAACATGATATTTAGTAGTTAAAATTTATTATCTAAATAATATGATACTAACTAGACATATAAACATGAGAGAAATAAATAATTAAAATTAAATATTAATTTTCATCATGACATTAATCACATTTATCAGATCACATATACCAATATTAGTCTATTCCATTTATAAATTATTTTAGATTTAGATTTTGAGATTTAAACCCGTGAGTTGATTGATGAACTCAACACAAGTAGCACTCATGAGCTCGTTAATCAATTGAAGTCAAGTTAAACAATAAACATAACTCAAAACTTTAATTAGTAAGCCGAATTCAACTCGACTTGTTTCTTAATGAATTAAACCCGAATTGAATTCAACTCGAGTACTCGACTCATTCACAGACCCGCTCACATATACATATATTCCTCTCCCGACCCCATATACAATTGGACTAGGGCTGGGTTGCCAAGGCTAAGGACTAAAACACCATTATGCAACAAAAATTGGACAATTTGAGTCCTTGACGAGTCAGCGCACGCAGCTACTAAACGTACAGGCCGAAGTATTAGGAATGTAATACAAGTAACAGAAAATGTAATAATTAGTACTGTCTTTTTTTATTATATATAATGGTGAAATAAATTAGTAAGGAGTTTAGAAGAAACGAGACAATTAGTACTGTACGTCTTATAACTTCATAGATTTTATATATGTAGTGTGGTAGGTGTTTCGTGTGGTAGGAGTTACCATTGTGGAATGTTATACCTTCCATTTCTCAATGATTTGTATCCTGTTTATTCTCAGTGATTTACACCTACATTTTCCCTTCAAACGACGAACATTGACATGGATGATGGATCCAATGAGTGCTTTAATTTCAGGAGGCTGATTTGTGGGCAATTTTCTAATATATTAATTTCAGAGGGCTAGGTAGTGGTTTTCACCGCCAAATTAAAGCTCTACATTGATCATTTGCTACGACTACTCCCTTGCTGGATCTAACGGTACCGCCAAGTGGGTCAGGTCAGGTGGGGACAATTAATTAGTTAATTGATTAGAAAACGTCTGCTTCTTCTCCATGTAGAAAAATAATATACTTGTTTATTATTTGGTTAATTTATATGGAGGGAGAAACGGGGTCTGGTAAGGCCTCTGACACCTGTCATGTGATTGTGGGGTTTTGGCTAAGGTTTACTTTTCCCACTTAAATTTTATAATATTTTAATTTATTTTTAGGAGGGAGAAACGTATATTATTAATATATTTTTTTTATGAAGGTATATCTTATTTATTAAAGTAATTGATTAGGTAAAATGAGGAAACCAAGACTAATAATCAAGTTCCACCACCATGAAATGATCAAAGAACACGAGCATAGAGCAGTGATGCATATATGCTTGAATGCTAGATAGATAGATCTGAAGCCCTTTGGGCGTTGGCAATGGTTTATATGCATATACATTGCAATGGTGGTCGCGGTTGGGGTGGGCATGTGGTGTGGGTGGTTAATGTGCGGATTGATATTGATCCATCCGCAAATAACTTGATCTGTACGTAATGGGTGATTGATGTGGGTGGATTGCGGATTGATAAATTTTCCACCAGCATTTATGTGTGTGGGTGGTGGGTGGATTGTGAGTCACCCGTATGACCCGCATCCTATTTTTACATGAAAAAATGTTGTTTCTTATAGTATAGAATATTCATCATATTTTCGAACTGCACTACAGTCAGACCATATACTTCAAAAGGCGGAAAATAAAGAATAGTTTTGACTACAGTTATTGGTTTTATGTTGTGCAATATCTATTAGATATTGAATATTGGTATGCAAATTATTGTTAATATAAATTAAATATTGGGATGCAAACTATAAATTATTAAATGTATCAAATTCAAGATTATTAAAAATATTACTAATTTGCTATGAACGTTAGTCAACTTTCTTAGTGGCTAGTTGGAGAATTACTTTTGCGGGTTGACCCATGACCCAACCGAATCCATCCGCCACCCACCCAGTCCAACAGGCAAAGATATGTGAGTGGATTGCGAGTCACAATTATTCAAACTCGCTAGTAAGCGAGTGGGTGAATTTGAGAACAATCGCCGATTGCCCATCCTTAGTGGCGGGGCCGTGCCATGTCGTACTTTAATCGTGATTTCAACCTCCCCTCCTTAACATTTCCATTTTTGGTAAGATTTGACTCTCTTGCATTGCATGGCCTTCCATTCCATGTTTCTTACCGCGAGCCGACCACCCAACTTCTCAATAATAGGCAGCATTTATATCACTTTCTACATGTCCCTCATATCCTTGGGCTCAAATATCTTGCAAAGACAATATAACAAATGCCTCACTCAAGTACTGTTTTTCCCTATGTGTATGAGATCAGTTGTTACGTTTTCGATATGTGTCACAGCATTCAAGTAAATGTTAACATAAAAAATATTATTTCCCCCCAATATATATGTAGCTTATAACGAGAATTATATGCTGTTATGAAAACATTTTATTACTGTTTTGCATTTCGATATCAAATATTAATTTTTTTTTATGATTTTGTTTAGGCTCACTATTATAGTCTAAGAGATAGTAGTGCTGGCACCATTCTCAGCCAAAAAAGATATTGAAGATGATTAGATGAGTAAGATAATCTTAATCAATATTCAGCCCATGCAACTTCATAACTTTTAAAGATCCATCTAAAAATAATCTTATTCACTTAATTGGCCATGTTATATCTCTTTGATCTCCAAGATCAACACCTACCAATATTGCGCCATGAAGAAACCTCCAAAACTAAAAAAAAATCTCAACAGAATAATAAAAAAATATCTATATCATCATTCTTTCCCAACAAAAAAACAAGAATGAACCATTCCATTATTTTTCAACTAATAAAAACAACATTTATTACCAAAATTACTAAACTATTATTTTCTTGCAGAAGATAGCAAAAGCTCCACTTGTTAATTTAATTTGTTATACATATGGTTGCGCAATATATATACATATATTATAGGTAGCATGACGCCATCTTCTTCCCAATACCTTCAATTTCCCACCTCCCAACACTTTCTATTTCTGCTTCTTCAGCTCCTTCTCCATACCCTTTTACACACTCTACTCTTATTAGCTACTTCCATTACCACTGCTCTGATACGTAGAACAGTACTCTCCATCCCTTTGTCCAACACAACAAAAACAAAAAAGAGACACATGGAATTCGATCACTTGAACTACTCATCGTCGTCACCTTCCACAGACGCCGACGACCACCAATCAATGCTCATGATGATGAACAAACAACAACAACAGATTCCAGACTACTTCTACTCCGAATTCCCCATCTTACCCTCCGACAGCTTCCCCGCCGGTGCAACTCCCACCACCACCGCCGCCTACCCACATTTCCTCCACCACCATCACAGCAACGACCCCAACCACCCTTCCACCACCTTATCCTTTTCCACCGACGACCATCAAGCAGTCTCATGGCGAGACCTCATGACGACTGAATCCGCCGCCGCCGCCGGCCTTCACAACGGGATGCCGGCAGCGCATAAGAAGGCGTCGATGGCGGCGATGAGGGAGATGATATTCCGCATCGCCGCCATGCAGCCGGTCCACATCGACCCGGAGGCCGTCAAGCCGCCGAAGCGGAGGAACGTGAGGATATCGAAGGACCCGCAGAGCGTGGCGGCGCGTCAGCGGCGGGAGAGGATCAGCGAGAGGATCAGGATACTGCAGAGGCTGGTCCCCGGCGGGACGAAGATGGACACGGCGTCGATGCTGGACGAGGCCATCCATTACGTCAAGTTCCTGAAGAATCAAGTGCAGTCGCTCGAGAGAGCTCGGCCGGCTGCGGCGGCGGCAGAGGGTGGTGGTGGTGGTGGGATTGGGTTTCCGGTGGCCATGGCTAGTGGGAGCTATGTCGGTGTCGTGGGAAAAGGGTATCATCAGACGCAGCAAGATATTGAACACTATGGGGATGCTTAATTGATCAGATTGTTGTTGTGGTGTGATTTGACTGGGATTAAGTTAAGTACGTACATTAGTCTTTGATTATGGTTTGTCCGTCGTGGTAATAATGATTAACCTTTCTTGTAGGGGACTGTGCTACTTGATAGACAGTGGCCAATTGCTCGGCTCCACGTGTGAGATATATATATGCATGGGGAATTATTGTTGCAAATATTATATACGTTCAAGAAAAGGGCTTGTTTTTTTTTTCTTCAGAAAACATCTCCATGGTTATCCAGTCAACAAGTTCCGATGCTCATCAACTTCCTGCCCACATAAGTTAAACTTAATTGTTGGTTCTACGTAAAAAAAAAAAAAAAACCTCCAAACAAAAGAACAGGATGATAGTTCCCGCATGATAATTTAATTGAACATGGACTATTTAAACTCGAGAAACATGTTAGGTTCGAAATTCGAATTATTATCTGCAGCACATTATCACTCGTTGGGAAAAGACGCAATGGATCAGTATTCGACAGGTTACAGGATCTGCCAATATATAGTGGGAAACAAAAAATGTTTCAGTGGGTTGGCAGAGAGAGCACTGGAAGACTATACTATATATATGGCGCGCGCAGTACTATTATTATAGCTAGCGGAAAGAATCCTTTTTTCAGACCGGAAATACAATCCTCGATCGTTTATGGTCCTTTACAGATAGACTGGGTCGCTGGGGAAGATATCCGATCCCATACAGCAGCCACTTGTGAAATTCTTCTTTTCTGAAGCTGTTGTATATTTTGGGTTTACAGGAGGAAAGAAAGATTTTGCACGCAACGGAAAGCTGGGCGGGTCGGGTTGGAATTGGAAAAGGGAAGCTAAGCTAGTAGCACTGGCATGAGATTTCCACGTGAACGTCTGACAACGTGGTGTCCGGCACCCAGGAAATTATATCTACCGCCACGTGGCGGTGCTGATGACGTGGCCGTCCGCCCCACGCCTTCACATGTGACACTACTACCCAATTGGTCGTCCACTTTCATGACTCTTTCCTTACGCGGCGCTCCACCTCGTCCCGTCATAACTGTAGAGCTTAAACATACATATGCCTTTCTTCTAACTTAAGCAAGCAATGTCCCCCTAAAAAAACAAAAACTTAAGCAAGCAATGAAACAGTAACAAGAAAGAAAAGGCGGAGATTTATACAAATTTGGCTAAATTACATGTTTGGTCACTCAAATTACATAAATTTTTCACGTTTGCCACCCATATCACTTTTCTTTCTGATTCGCCACTAACTTTGCCAATCCTTTCACCGTTAGTCACCGGCCGTCAGCCTTCGTCAGAATCTGTTAACTACGTCAGTTTTTTGATGACGTGGCAAATGGAACTGCTGACTAGACCGTTAACTTAATGACATGAAAATTAAAAAAAATAAAAAAGATCCCTCTCCCAATTCTTCTTCTTCGTCGACTTTAGCCATGCCTGCTCTAAATTAGAGAAACACAATCCCCTCACCAATCTCCCAACTCCCATGTAGCTTTTCCACTCTCCATTCCAAGTCTCATCTCCCAGCTCCCCTTCTTCTTCTTCCACCTCGAGACCCACCTATACTTCCCCTATTCAATGTGAATTCTTCAACCTCCGAAGACCACTCCAAGACCTGCCGACCCGGATTTGGGGAGGCTGGGGTGTTCGAAGGTTGGGGTGGCCATGGCAGACATTGGGGTCCTCGGTAAACCATACACAAAATCCATGGTGATCTTCTCCCAAGTCCATTGTGGGATCTCCAATGGTAGGTGCTCAATGACTGGAGCTTGATGTTCAGCCTTGATCATTTGGCACTCTAAGCATTGGTAGACATGTGTAGCTACCTCCTTCTTCAACCCTGGCCACCAGAAATGCTCCTTGAGGGTACGATACATCTTAGTAGCCTCAGGGTGCATTGTATAGGGTGCAGAGTGAGCCTCATCCAGAATATCCTTCCTTAGCTTCTCAAAATCTGGGACACACAGCCTTCCTTGATACATCAGTACGCCATCTACCAGTCCAAATTTGGTGTCCTTCCCTTCTAACACTGCTTCTTGAACTTCTCTAATTCCAAATCTTCACTCTGCTTCTCCTTGATTCGTTCCTGCAACATAGGACGAATTTTCAAATTTGCTAGCAACTTTGTTACCTCCTATATCTCCAATTCCACGTTCATGGCCCTCAAAGAGACCAACTCCGGTAAAGGGCTCTCCCTCTTCCTGCTCAAGGCGTCAGCCACCACATTTGCCTTTCCTGGATGGTACTTAATGGTGCAGTCATAATCGCTCAACAGCTCCATCACCTTCTCTGCCTCATGTTCAACTCCTTCTGATCAGTCAAGTGTTGGAGGCTCTTGTGATCCGTGAAGATGGTGAACGTCTCGCTGTAGAGATAGTGTCTCCATAACTTCAAGGCAAAGACCACTACTGTGATAGACCGTTAATTGCACATGTTTTACCCCTATTCTTACACCGTTTGAGATGTGGATTCTCGTTTTTAGGCCGATTTCACGCTAGGTTGTGCTTGTTTGTGATATTTCAGGTCATAGTACGTGAATGGAGGTTTGGGAGCGAGTTTGGGGGCGATTGGACGAAGATCGGACGCGTGGCGAGGCGCTGATGAAGCCACATGGGCATTCCTGGAACCCACACAGTCGTGCAAGTCACCCTTGTGGCTGTGTGGGATTTACCGAGAGCTAACACGGGCATGGTGGAATTTCCACACGGCCGTGTGGGAAGCCTGAAGTGCACTTATTCGATACGCAGCGTTTTGGACCTGACACGGGCATCTGGGTAAGCCACACGGCCGTGTGGCCTGCCCGTGTGAGTCGGGAAAATCTGGGATTAACCCAATTTCGAGCCACAAGTGTGAGAATCGACTTTTTGGAGCAAAAACAGAGCCCTAGAGAGAGAAAGCGCGAAGAACTCATCCTAAGAGTGGTTTTGGAGCTGAGTTTCATCAAATCAACTTGGAGATCATCATAGGAGTGATAATCATCATCCCAGAGCAGATTCTTCCCATTATTATGAGTATGACTGCTTTGTATCCTGTTTTCCCCTCTCTCTCTATGGAGTAGAACTTTCTCTCACTTGGGTATGAAGAACCCTAGTTCCATGTGTTAGGGATTTTAATTGTAATGAATTGGGATTTTTATACTGCTTGATTATAATCGAATCACGCATGATTCATTGAATTGATTGAAGTCTAATAAGCTTTTCTTGATTTCTGCTGCAACCTGAGATAGATAGAATCTGATTAGGTTGTTAGAGCTGCATCATTCGGTAGTAGTGGATTGGTTATACGAGAGTTAGCCAATCTACTGCTTTGTACTGGAATCCAATTCCAGTAGTGGAGTTCTGTATTCATAGCCTCAGCTTTCTATCTCGGTGAAGGTTAGTCGCCTGCCGGGTAGTTTGACTAAGAGGGCTTGGTCAGCTTAAGAGATTCCAAGCTACTGTCGGATCTTCCGCAGTTTAATCAACAGTAAATCAACCCAGGGTAATTACAATTGAGACCTAACTAAGGAGCTAGGGGGACTCATTCCCGAGTGACTCTTCCTTGACTTCAGAAAACCGAACCATTTCCTGCTTTTTACTGCTTTTAGTTAAAACAACAATCACTCGACTTAGTTTGCTAGATAATAGATAATCACGGAGTAGGCAATAGATCTAGACCCCGGGTTGATAATAGAACTTGCTACTTTACTGCATTCCCGGACTGCGATTACACTTGGTCGCAGTTTGGAGTTGTGTTTTACAGTGTCAAGTTTTTGGCGCCGGTGCCGGGGAACCTCTAGGTCATTGGGGAAACGTGACAATTTGTTACTCTAGCTTTTTCTTTACTGCATTGTTCTCTCTTCCACCTGTGTGCCTTCACGGGTTGCTTTTGCTGTTTGTGTGCAGGTAGTGCATGACCCGTAGCCAGTCTGGAGAACTACTACCATTAGACCAGGAGCTTGAACGGACTTGTAGGAACTTCAAGCGGGCTCTAAAGGCGCGACTGGCTGCGGAGGAGGCGCTAGCACAGCTGCAAATCACTGACGAAGAGGAGATGGCTGACCCACAGGACCACGATGTGGTCATTCATGAGGAGCAGACCATGGGATCCTACTGGACCGCCAGAGCCGCAGACATGAGGTCACCCATTCAACACCCTCATGTGCCAGCGAACAACTTTGAGGTGAGCACCTCGGTCATCACAATGTTGCGCGGTTCGGTGGTGTTCCGTGGCAAGGAGGGGGAGTGCCCCCGATCACATCTGAGGCGAATCCATGAGCTGATCGATGGAATCAAGATAAATGGGGTCCCAGCCGATGCCATCCAGCTGAGGTACTTCCCGTTTACTCTGGAGGGCCAGTCCAAGGAGTGGCTAGACACTCGACCTCCAGGCTCGATTACTACGTTCGCCAACCTAGAGGACAAGTTCCTCACCCGCTATCATCCTCCGTCAAAAACGACGGAGTTGCAGAAGCAGATCACCCACTTTATCGAGGATGAAGATGAGACCATCTGGGACGCATGAGAGAGATACAACAGTCTCTTCCTGAGGTGTCCCAATCATGGTTTCAATGATGCTTTCAAGGTGGGCACCTTCTATCACGCCCTCTTCCCAGAAGACAAGCAGCTGATTGACTCGGTTTGTGGCGGGAACATGCTGACCAAAACACCGCCAGAACTGAGTCAACTCTTTGAGGAGATGGCAGAGAACGGGTATGATTGGGGAACTGCCAGGAGATCGAGACGAGCACCAGGGCGGGGTGTGCATGCTGTAGCCACCCAGTCATCTGATTTGGTGCAGGTGGTATCGAAGCTGGTTTCAGCCATAGATCGCTCTGGATTGATTGCAGGGACCGGACAGCAGCAGGCGATGCACTGCCAGTGGTGCGAGAGCACCCATCACACTGTGGAAGATTGCCAGGCGATGAGGGAGTCGACTACACCCCAGGAGCAGGTGAACTTTATCAATAATGCTAGGCGCAATGACCCCTACAGTAACACGTACAATGA